TCCATTTGGAGAGGAGTGCACAGTGCACCATAACTTTCTTCTTTCATAAACCATACCGAAGTTTCTTGTTATTCAAAAATATTTTTTTCTATCTATTTTACATAGAGAAAAATGAAAAAAAAAAAATCTTATAAAGTTACTTTCTTACCACATTTTACGTACGTAGGCTTCACGTTTAGTTATATTCAACTTTATTATTCTTTTCGTTTAGCTTAATTAGCTTGGACATGGTTTTTAAATTTCTTCAATTATACAAAAATACAAAACTATGACCATGCAATTATGAATTCATTTGCTTAACCAATAGGCAGAAATTTTGTCGATGAATATTTACCGTAGATTAGTTTTACTCCTCGAAATTCTGATCATTGTTTTGTACTGAATAATTGAATTAATTATCTGCCTCTTTTTTTTTTTACCTCAATTGAATTATGATCAATTCCAAACTCTGACAACTAGTATGTATAGATCCCCAATACTAACATAATTAAATTTTACATTTAGAAAGGTGTTTTTAAACCATACACATGAATTTATATCAAAACCAGGCCTCATAGGTAACCTTGTAAGATTTACATATTGATCTATTTTTATTCATCCTTCAGCGTATTCGTTGTTGGCGGGTTTTATTTTTCGGTTTGGTTAAGTATAAGAAAACACCTATCGGCTCTAGATAAAATTTTGTCCAATATGAAATCACACTTTGTTAGATTGCTTAGTCTTATGAAGAATATGATGTAAGTGATGGCTTTTAATTTTTATGATAGAATCTTTAATCGAGCATTCACTTGTGCCAAAAAAAAAAACATAGAGAAGTACATTCAATAATTTAAACCATATCAGAAAATCTCAAGACATTGTATTATTTGTTACTCAAAGTAAATTTATTGATGAAGAGAAACTAGGCAGGTCTTAAACTAGACTCAAGGTCCTATTATGAAACAAATGTTACAAATTATAAAACGTGATTAATTACTCATGCATCATTTTACACAATCAATAAAAATTACTTACCATCCTTGATCCCAAAAAAAGTCTCTTGTTGTTGTTGGTTAATATGGGAGACCGTTCCCTGAAACCGCTCTTTTGTCTCTGTCTTCATGAAAATGACAAAAGATCCTATGGTAAATTCTTGAGAGTTCGCCATTTTTTAAGAGGATTTGGTTGATTCTGTATCTATGGTTATTGTGTTCTATGTGAAGATTTTTATTGTTTTTTGAAATAAACCATCAATTTTTATCTACCCAAAATATTTCACCCAATAGAAAACCAATCTCATAATTTAAAGAATCAAAACACTAAAAAATCAATTAATTATGCATAGAAAAGTGAAAACATCATATAATAAAAAACAAAAAAAAAGCTCAAAACATC